GACGTCTTTGACTTGGACGGCGACGGGCTGCTGAGGTGTACATACACCGCAGCCCGCCTGCAGCTGCATGCAGCGGAAGCCGCGCATGCAGCCCAAAACGCATGCATGCATGCAAAAAAAGCCCCAAAAAAGCTGCATGCATGCATGCAGCTTTTGGGGCTTTTTTGCTGCAGAGATCACGAACTTGAAGCTGCTTTCGAGTCTCAAGCCGAGCGGCTTCGGGCCCGAGACGGAAGGGCCCAAAGTTACAAGGAGTTCATCTGCCAGCTGTACGTACACCCCAACTTGCATGCATGCGTGCATGCAGCCGCGCATGCTGCTGCTGCTTTGCTGCTCTTGCTGCTGCTGCTGCTCCTGCTGTCGCCGCAGCGCGTGCTGCTGTTGCTGCTGCTGCTGCTGCTGCTGCTACTGCTGCTACTTGTGCTGCTGATATTTCTGCTGCTTGTGCTTGTGCTGCTGCTGCTTACGCTGCTGCTATTTCTGCCGCTGTTGCTGCTGCTGCTATTGCTGCTGCTGCTATTGCTGCTGCTATTGCTGCTGCTGCTGCTATTGCTGCTGCTGCTGCTGCTGCTGCACTGCTGCGTGTGCGGCGGCGCGCGGCGCGTGTGTGTGCAGCAGCGACGCGCTGGGGCTGCCGACAGCAGCAGCAGCAGCAGGAATTGGAGTTTCGGATTTGCTGCAGTCTCCTGCTGCTGCTGCAGTGCTGCTGAACTGTCTCCTCAAGGCCCACGTGTTGAAGGCCTTTGAAGACGGCGAGGCCCTGCACACTCTCGCGGAGCCCCCGGCCCTCGAGAGGGCCCTTTTCGCCGGATTCACGTCCGATTTTTCTTTTTTTTTTCTTTTTTTTTTCTTTTTTTTTCCTTTTTTGGACCCGTTAGTGGAGGACTCTTCTGGTCTTTTTGTTCGCCTCTTTTTGGCCTTTTATTCGTCTCTTTTTGGCACTTTGTTTGCCGCTTTTAGGGCTTTTAGTTGCCCCTTATCTGCCTCCATTTGGCGCTTTATTCGACTCTTTTTAGCTCTTTTATTTGCCTTTTTTCGGCCCTTTTACTTGCCTCCATTTGACACTTTATTTGACTTTTTAATCCACTGCATTTGCATTTCCTTGGCTCTTTTACTGCTTTTATTTGTCCTTTTATTTGCCTCCTTTTGGCACTTTATTTGGCCCTTTTTGGCCTTTTATTTGACTCCTCTAGTGCTTTTATTTGCCCCCTTTTGGCGCTTTGTTTGACTTTTTTATTTTTCTTTTTTGGCCTTTCTTTGGCAGTTTGTTTGGCCCTTTTAGCCCTTTTATTTGCCTCTTTTTGGTTCATTTATTTGTCTACTTTTAGCTTTTTATTTAACTCTTTTTTTCTCATTTCCCCCAATTTGGCACTTTCTTTGACTCCTTTATCCTTTTTATTTGCCTTTACTCGGCACTTTATTTGACTCTTTTTTGGTCCTTTTATTTCTTTTCATTTGGTCCTTTTATTGGCCTTTATTTGGCACTTTATTTGTTTCTTTTGTTCCTTTTATTTGCCTTTATTCGGCACTCTATTTTGCTTTTTTAGTTTCTTTATTCGGCTTTTTTTGGCCCTTTTGTTTGCCTTTTTTGACTCTTTAATTTGCTCTCATTTGTCCCTTTTGCTGGCCTTCTTTTGTTCCTTTATTTGTCCCTTTTAAGTTCTTTATTTCGCCACTTTTGGCCTTTTATTTGCCCCCTTTTAGCCCTTTATTTGGCTCTTTTGGCACTTTTTTTGCCTCCATTTATCCCTTTTATTTGTCCTTTATTTGTCCCTTTTAAGCTCTTTATTATTTTGCTATTTTTGGCTCTTTATTTGGCTCATTTGGGTTTCTTATTTGTCATTTTATTTTTCTCTTTTTGTCTCTTTTTGAATCTCTTTTGGGCCCTTTTTAATTCCCTTTTGGGCCTTTTGTTTATCTCTTAAATTTTTTATTTTTAAACTCATTTGTTTCATTTAGGCCATTTATTTATTTCTTTTTGTCTCTTCTTTAAAATCTTTTGGCCCCTTTTTAATCTTCTTTGGGTCACTTATTTGTCTCCATTGGATTATTTATTTCCAAATTTATTTATTTCTTTTAAATGATTTAATTTATTTTTTAATTTATTTTTAATTTCTTTTTTTTGCTGCAGCCCTTTTGAGGTGTACGCACACAGCGAGTACGCGGCCTTTACGGCGCAGCGCTACGAGGAGGCGGCGGTGAGGTGTACAGACAGCTGAAGTGTGGGGTGTTTGCATGCGTTTCGGGGCTTTTGGGAGTGGATTTTTTTCTTTTTTGAGTTTATTTGCCATTATTTCTATTTCTATTTTATATTTAATGCAAATAAAACCCCTAATCCCCTTTTTTCGAGCCGTGGGGCTTCTTTTTGGCTCCTGCTGCTGCATGCAGGCCGAGGGCGCCACAGGCGGGACTTCGCCGGAGGGAAATCTTTCGGAATAAGACCTTTTGCAAATTGGAGAACTTTAAAAAGAAAAAAAGAATTAAATTTGCACAAATTGCTTTTAATTTGCGCCTTTTGGCGGAAAAAATGACTCACTAGAACTCCACTTTCGTCGGGGCTCTTGCGGCAGGTGTACGTACACCCCGGGGTGTATGCGCATGCATCTTCGAGTGTATGGACAGGCGGGTTTATTTCTTTGGCGCGAATTCGCGCAAATCCGCACTTTTTGGAAATATAATTGTCTCTTGTTGTCTCTTTTATATCTTTATTTCTTTTTATTTCCATTTATTTCCTTTTATTTCCTTTTATTTCCTTTTATTTCTCTTTTTCTTTTTTTTTCTTTTTCCTTCGTCTCCTTCTGTCTCCTTTGTCCGGAGACAAAAGATCTCGAGACGTTTTTGAGGCATTTATTAAAGGACTTGCAAACAAACTCAACTTTGCTTTTATAAATAATTATAAAATATTAATTTTTATTTTATTCAACTTTTTGTGAATTATGTTTTCAGGATATTGCAAATACAGCAAATGTATTTATAAACATTTGCTTTACATGATATACACTTTTTTATTTTCATTTGCATTTATATTTTTTATTTATATTAATATTTTATTTACAATTATATTTATATTTATCTTTCACTTCTATCCATAGTTATATTTATATTTATAGATTTGGAAATGCACAAGATTGAATTTTGTCGATATTCCGTTTTCTCTTTTTATCTTCTTTTGTCTCTTTTATTGGCTTTTTATGTCCTATCTTTTTGTCTCTTTTTTGATATTTTTTTGTCTCCTTTTTATCTTTTTTTGTCTCTTTTTTAATCGATTTTTGTCTCTTTATGATCTTCTCTTTGTCTCCTTTGTCTCTTTTTCGATTTCTTTCTTTCTCTTTTATTTTCCCTTTTCGTCTCTTTTTTTGTCTTTTTTTGTTCCTTTTTTCTCTTTTTATTTTCTTTTTGTCCACTTTTACTTTTTTTTCTCTTTTTTGTGGCGCTTTGCATGCATGCATGCATGCATTTAAACCCTCAACAAGGGTTTAGGGTTTAGGGTTTAGGGTTTGGGGGGCTTTGGTTGCAGCCAACCGCCCAGCGCGTCTTATGGGGGCATCCAAAAATATAAATTGTATATATATTTTACAATCTAAATTAATTGTACATTTGTAATGAAAATAAATAAATAAATAAGTATATACATGTATATATATATGCACATATATATATATATCATATATGTACTATATTGCATGCACACATATATATATATATATATATATACAATATAAATGGATAGGCATATATGTAAGATATATCCTAACTTCCCAAAAAAAATAAACGGGAAAAAAGATAAAGAAGTAGATGAAAAAATAAATAAATAAATAAATAAATAGATAAATAGTGAAATATAAATGCAGGTTTTTGTTTGAAGACAAATCGATAAACGAAACTTCACAAAAGTAGGAGTTAGGCATCAAAAGGAGCAATTGAAGCTTCTGTATAAACGCATGCACTTGCATGCATGCGCATGCACTTGCATGCATGCGCATGCACTTGCATGCAAGTGCATGCAGGCCGAGGCTTGGGGCTTTATTTTTGAGGGTTTTTTCTCCGTTCGAGTTTTGGTGCTTTGCACCGGGAGAAAAGATACAGACAAAAGGTGGAACTGCTGACTTGGGGTTTGTGCATGCATGCATGCGTGCATGCATGCATGCATGCATGCGTGCATGCATGCATGCATACATGCGTGCATGCATGCATGCATGTATGCGTGCTTGCATGCATGCGCTCATAATCATGCACTTGCATGCACTTATGAGCAAATCTATACTTGTGCATGCATGCTTGCATGCGTGCGTTCGCGAGTTTTAAACATATGCATGCACTCATATGCATGCATGCATGCACGCATGCAAGCAGGATATTCGTGCATGCGCAAATGCATGCATGCAGAACACGCATGCATGCATGCATGCATGCGCATGCACAAATCTGTAACCATGCTTGCATGCACGGGCTTGCCGCATGCGGCGCCGCCTGTGCACCGCACTGCATGCATCCAAAGCCCCGAAAACATAAAACGCGCATGCATGCACCCACGATGCACTCATATGCATGCATGCATGCACGCATGCAAGCAGGATATTCGTGCATGCGCAAATGCATGCATGCAGAACACGCATGCATGCATGCATGCATGCGCATGCACAAATCTGTAACCATGCTTGCATGCACGGGCTTGCCGCATGCGGCGCCGCCTGTGCACCGCACTGCATGCATCCAAAGCCCCGAAAACATAAAACGCGCATGCATGCACCCACGCACGCATGCATGCATGCATGCACGCATGCATGCATGCATGCATGCATGCATGCATGGTTAAAAGCATCTATGCAAGCAGAACTGCAGGGCGACTGGGGCCTGTTTGCAGAGTTTGCAAAGCCCTCGAAGAGGCTGGGAAACGAGAACTTGAATGGAAAGAATTGGATTAAATTGATTAAATTGATTAAATGGATTAAATGGATTAAATTGGATTAAATTGGATTAAAACTAATTAAAATGAAGTTTCATGCTGCGGGGAAACTGTCTGCGTCTTCCTGCTGCCACCAAGTATCTCTTTCCCCCTCTTTTGGGGCTTCCGAGTCAACTGCATGCAAATCCGAAATCTGCGCATATCCTTGCATGCGGGGGGCTGGGCGTTTGTGTTCAGCTTCGGGGTTTTGGGGCTGCATGCGCGCTGCTGCTGCTGCTGCTGCTGCTGCTGCTGCTGCTGCTGCTGCCACCGCCGCCGCCGCGCCGCCGCCGCTGCTGCTGCTGCTGCTGCTGCTGCTGCTGCTGCTGCTGGGGAGACGCCCGCGGCGCATGCAGCAGCGAAAGCAAAGCAACATAAACAAACTAAGCCCCAAAAGCATGCATGCAACGCCAGCTACAGATCTGTACCAAGCTATTCCCTCTGTTTCTTTTTCAAACCCAAACTCTTTTTCCCTTCTTACTTCTTTCACTTCCAGACTTTCTTTTTCCTTTTCCTTTTCCACTTCTCCCGCCCCACTTCTCGCCTCTTGCGCGCCTCCAGGGGCCCCCCGGGGGGCCCCCAGCTCGGGGGGCCCCCCAGTGCCCGGAGGGGGGCCCCCGGAGGGGGGCCCCCACGAAGAGGGGGCCCCAGAGGGGCCCCCCAAGAGCAGGGGGGCCCCGGGGGGGCCCCCCTCAACCCTCCCCACCTCAGCAACAGGGTACTCCTGAGACGAGGGGGGCCCCCACGCTGCTGGCAGCGGGGGGGGGGCCCCCGCGGACTCCAAACTTCCTAATGTGGGGGCCCCGGGGGCCCCAGGGGCCTTGGGGGCCCCAGGAACTTTGGGGGCCCCGGGGGCCCCTGGGACTTTCGGGACCTCAGGGGCCTCGGGGGCCCCCAGGGCCTCAAGGGCCTCCAGGGGCCCCGGGGCCTCGGGGGCTCCCAAGGCCTCGGGGGCCCCCAGTGCCTCGGGGGCCCCCAGGGCCTCGGGGGCCCCCAGGGCCTCGGGGGCCCTCAGGGCCTCGGGGGCCCCCAGGGACTGGGGGGGCCCCAAGGCCTCGGGGGCCCCCAGGGCCTCGGGGGCCCCCAGGGACTGGGGGGGCCCCTGGGCCTCGAAAGAGTCAAGGGAGTCAGGGGTCTCCGGGTCCCCTAAGGAACTGGCAGTGCTGGGGGTCCTGGGGGGCCCCCTAGGGGCCCCCAAGTCCTCTCTGGGGGCCACTGTGAGCTGTTTGCGGAGAAGTTGGAGTCTTTTTTCTTCATGGGCGAGTTGTCTGTCTGGAAAGGAAAAAGAAACAAAGACAAATGAAGACTGCATGCATGCATGCATGCATGCATGCATGCATGCATGCATGCATGCATGCAAAGCCCGAACATGCATGCATGCATGCAGACACACACATATGCATGCAAACCCAAGGCACATGCATGCATGCAGACACACGAACCCGCACGCAAAGCCCCACAGCGCATGCACGGCTGCATGCATGCACCTAGACACACATGCATGCACGCAAAGCCTGCAAACGCATGCATGCACGCATGCATGCACGCATGCATGCATGCATGCATGCATGCATGCATGCATGCATGCGTTTTGGGGCTGGGGGCTGACCGAGAAGTCTGCTTTTGAGGGTGAGGGTGAGCTCCTCGTTGGGGGCCCAAGGCAAAGGGGCCTCGGAAGTGTACTTGAAAGGGACTTGAGAGTTTTGGGGCTTTTTGGGAATTCGAAAGAAGTGTGTGGGGCGGAGTCCGAGTTTGTAAGTGTAAATTAAATCGGAAATGGAATTGCAAAAGAAAGAAAAAGAAACTAAAGACAAACTCGACTGCTCAGAGGCCCCGCTCAGCAAACGCCAGAACAAACCCAAGTCTGCAGCAGCAGCAGCAGCAGCAGCAGCAGCAGCAGCAGCAGCAGCAGCAGCAAAGCAGTTGCAGCAGCAGCAGCAGCGGCAAAGGCAATTTCCGCTTGCTGCAACGCGAAATCCGCATTCAACAGTTTTATTTATTCGCAAGTTTTCTAATTATTATTATTATTATTATTATTATTATTATTATTATTATTATTATATTATTCTTATTATTTATTATTATTATTCTATTATTATTACTATAAGTTGAATTTAATTACTATTGTTTCTAATATTTGTTGTGCAATTGCTTTCAAGGTATTTGATTTAAATTCTTTTTTTGACTTTTTTTCTTCAAATGGATTTCTATTTCGCCTTCAGACAAACAAAGCCAGAAAATAAAGAGAGGCCCCTGCATGCATGCATGCATGCAACGGGGATGCTGCAGACAGCGCCTAATAAATAAATAATAAATAATAAATAAATAAATAAATAAATAAATAAATAATGGATTATAAAAAATGAATTAGAAATAACAGATAATTTCATTCCTTTATTTATCCTTAAATGAAATTTTAATTTTTATTTTCGTAAAATTTCAAATCTGGAAAAATATCCGGGTGTATATACACTCGGACTTGCACAAGTCAAGATCTGCCCCAACGCATTTCTTTTTCATTTTAAACAAACATAATTGGACAATTACATTTATAATAAATAAATTACATTACTTTATTATTTATTATTTATTTATTTATTTATTTATTTATTTATTTATTTGCTTTTTTGTTTTTTTGTTTTTATTTTGGTGTCGCGACACCTGGGGGTGTGCGCTGAGGTGTACGTACAGTTCACGCCGTCGCCCAGCTCTCTAAATCGCATTTCGATACTTTAAACAAACATAATTGGACAATTACATTTAGAATTGATGAATTAAATTACTTTATTATTTATTATTTATTTATTTATTTATTTGTTTGCTTTTTTGTTTTTATTTGGGGGTCGCGACACCTAAATAAAAGCGCTGAGGTGTACGTACAGTTCACGCCGTCATCCAGCTCTTTAAATCGCATTTCGATATTTTAAACAAATGTAATTGGACAATTACATTTATAATAAATAAATTTAATTACTTTATTATTTATTATTTATTATTTATTATTTGTTTATTTATTTATTTATTTGTTTGCTTTTTTGTTTTTATTTTGGTGTCGCGAGGTGTACGTACAGTTCACGCCGTCGCCCAACTCTTTAAATCGCATTTCGATATTTTCCACTTTTCCATTTTTGGGTTTTTCACTAACCCAAATGAGGCCTGTGACTTCGCCTGAAGGCTCTACCGCTGCAAACAAAACCCTAAACCCTAAACCCTAAACCCTAAACCCTAACATCGTAAACCCTAAACCCTAAACCCTCAAAAAAGGGAAAAACGAAATGAGTGGGATGGAGACAGAGAGGCAGCTGTTGGAATACCGAGAAAAGATATAAACGGACAAAAAGAAGAGAGACAAAAAAGGAGACAAGGAAAAAACAAAAAGACAAAAAGAGACAAAAAAGAAACAAAAAGAGACAAAAAAGAGCAAAAGAGCGGCAAAAAGAGACACAGAAAAGAGACAAAAAGGAGACAAAAAAGAGACAAAAAAAGAGGAGCAAAATGAATCAAAAAGGAGACAAAAGGGGACAAAAAAGACAAAAAGAAGAAAAAGAAAAAAGAGAAAAAAGAAAAGAAAAAAGAATTTACCGACGAAGGAAAGCTGAGGAGAAGGAGACCTCCAAAAGGCCGGAGCAGCAGAAGTGTCTCCAATTGATTTGAAGAAAAAATTAATTTCTTTTTTTGTTTCTTTTTTTGTTTCCTCCAAAGACAAAAAACTCGTCGGCACAAAAGGAGACACTTCTGCAAACAACGGCGGAGAAAAAAAGAGAAAAAGAAATAAAAAAGAAAAATAAATAAAAGAGAATTAAAGAAGGAGACAATTAAATTAAAAGAAATTAAAAAAAGAGAATTAAAAATGAAAAGAGACAAAATTAAGAAAATCAAAAATAATGGAAACGCGGACAATTAAATTAAAGGAGACAATTAAATAAAGGGAGGCAATTAAATAAAAGGGGATAAATAAATAATTTTTAAAATTAAAAAAAAGACAAAATGAAGAAAATGAAAAGTAAAATAGGAAAAAGAGACAATTAAATAAAAGGAGATAATTAAAAAAAAAGATAATTAAATAAAAAGAGACGAGCTTAAAAATATTACTAAAAATTTTAAAAAATTAAAAAAATACATAAAATACATAAAATGAAAATAAAATGAAAAAAAATAAAATAAATAAAGTAAAAAAAGCGGGAAAAAAACAAATAAATAAATGAACTAACTAAATAGACACAAATAAATAAAATAAACGAATAAAAGAAGAGACAAAATAATAAAATAAAATAAATAAATAAAATAAATAAAATAAATAAAATAAAAAGAAATAAAAGAGAGAATTAAAGTCCCCACCAGAAACAGCTCCGGCGGAAATCGCCGCAGCAATGGCCTCTTGCAGCTGCTGCAGTTTTGCCTCTGCGTCACCCGCCAAACCCTAAACCCTAAACCCTAAACCCTAAACCCTAAACCCTAAACCCTAAACCCTAGCCCAGCCGTCGCTAGCCCACAGCGCAGCCGCGAACCCCGTGCCTGCAGCCCCTCCCCACCCCAAACCCCAAACCCCAAACCCCAAACCCCAAACCCTAAACTCCAAACCCAAACCCTAAACCCTAAACCCTAAACCCTAAACCCTCACCGCGAACCGCCAGGCTTTCCCTGTAGGAGTCCTCAATGGTCTTGTAAGGAAGCGGCAAATGCATTTCCAAACCCGCAGAAACACTTTGTTCAGAATAATAAAATGGCAAAAAAGAAGAAGGCCCAAACCCTAGAGACAAATACAAATTCAAAGGAGCCACTTGGCTAATCCAAACATGCAGCATGGCATCATTCAGGGGCCCCAAACGGGGGCCCCCGGGGCCCCCGGGGCCCCCGGGGCCCCCGGGGCCCCCGGGGGCCCCCCCTGTACCCTTTTCTCTTTCGGCCCGTCTTTCGGAGATGTTCGAGGCCTTCGCCAGCACCATCTGCAGCATTCGACGTGCTGCAGCAGCAGCAGCAGCAGAAGCGGCAGCAGCACCACCCATACACGCGCTGCAGCAGCAGCAGCAGCAGCAGCAGCAGCAGCAGCAGCAGCAGCAGCAGCAGCAGCGGGCGCTGCGGCGGTGAAGGCAGCTGCGGACGCCGCGGAGGCGCTCAGCTGCGCAGATGAGCTGCCAGCAGCAGCAGCAGCAGCAGCAACTGCAGCAACTGCAGCAGCAGCAGCAGCAGCAGCAGCAGCAGCAACTGCAGCAGCAGCAGCAGCAACGCAGCCAAGGAAGACACGGAAGCAAGGAGACACTTCTCCGAGGTGTACAGACACTGGAGAAGGAAAAAGAAGACAAAAAAGAGAAAAAAAACAGACAAAAGAATTAAAAATAAAAAACCAAAAATATAAAACAAAAACCAAAAAAGATTAAAATAAAAGGAAAAAGGATTAAAAAGAAGAGACAAAAACGACTAAAAAGAAAAGACAAGAAAAAGAAAAAAGACAGCCCAAACAGAAGCACCAGAAAAGAAACACAAAAGACACTCTGCATGCATGCATGCACGCCTGCATGCATGCATGCATGCATGCATGCATGCATGCATGCATGCATGCATGCATGCACGCGTGCATGCACGTGGGGTGTCTGTACAGCGGGCGCACCGAGTCCCATCCTTCGGAAGCGCGCGTCGACGGCGACCATCAGCACATCAGCAGATCCCCTTTTCATTTCTGCTGCTGCAACAACTCCCACCACCCCCCCGCTGCTGCTGCTGCTGCTGCTGCTGCTGCTGCTGCTGCTGCTGCTGCTGCTGCTGCTGGCAGGGGCCTCCTTCGCCACCACGCACATCTCGAAAAAGTGCCGCGCACGGCTAAAAGCCCTCATAGTAGAGGGCCCATACTTAACAGGGTACTCTGGGGTTCGCAGCAGCAGCTGGCGGATGTCTTCGAGGTCGCTGGGGCTGCAGTCCTCAATAACATACTGGGGGGCCCCCCGGGGGGCCCCACAGAGTGTCCAGAGCTGCTGCGGGGGGCCCCTCAGAGGAGGACACGCCCGCAGGGGCCCCCAGCAGCAGCGGCAGCAGCAGCAAAGGCAGCAGCAGCAGCAGCGGCGAACACCCGGGGCCCCAGGAGCGGCACAGGGGGCCCCCAAGGGCCCCCAAGACCCGGGAGACAACCCGGGAGGGCCCCGGGGCCCCCCAAAGCCCCCGGGGGGCCCCCCGGGCGGGCGAGCTGCATGCACGGGAGCGGCTAGCGGGGGCCCCGGGGGCCCCCGCGCTGCTGGAGCTGCACATTTAGGAGATATTTGGTTTGGAAGGAACAGAAAAGGCCAAATTGGAGTTAAAAAAATAAAGAAAGTGTTAAAGTGAAGAAGAATTTAAGCGAAAGGGTGTTGGTGCGGGGCAGTCGCCGGCGGCGGCGCCGCGAGGCACCCGAGGTGTACATACACCCGAAGCCCAGACCGCCAAAAACGCGAAAAAGGCAATTTATGAACGGCAAATGGTAAATTAAATATATATTTTGACAAAATGAAAGCACAAATGCTTAAAGAATCCAAAAAAAAGGAAAGGCAGTCGAGGATTGCCGCCCGATGGCATGCACCCGAGCACTCGCGGTCCCAGTGCTGCGGCTTTTCGCCGAAGACTTGACCCTTTTAATGCATCGTTTTGATTGTTTTTCAAATATTTAATTCATTTTCAGTTCAGTTTTTAATCATTTAATCCATTTAAACTCAAAACCCGCAAATTCCCAAAAAGCCGCCGCAGCCGCTCACCCCAGCGGAGCCAGCGCCCCAGCAGGCCTTTGCACTGGAGCGCCAAACGGCCTTAAAGCTGCTTTATTAATTAATTAATTAATTAATTAATTAATTTTATTTATTTAATTAAAAAATAAAATAATTCTGTAACTCCTTCGCCAACTAATTGCTCTATTTAATTCCATTTTGCTTTAATTCACCTCCCCCTCCATGCCCAAGGCCCCGAGCCAGCTCGCCGCTGCTAGCCACGGGCACCGGGGCCAGCTTGCTACAGCTAGCTGCTGCAGCTAGCCACTGCAGCTAGCTGCTGCAGCTAGCCACTGCAGCTAGCCGCTGCAGCTAGCCGCTGCAGCTAGCTGCTGTAGCTAGCCACTGCAGCTAGCTGCTGCAGCTAGCCGCTGCAGCTAGCTGCTGCAGCTAGCCGCTGCAGCTAGCGGCTGCAGCTGCTGCAGCTAGCTGCAGACAGGTGCAACAGGCTGCACCCAGCTGAACTCAGCCTCAACTAGCTGAGAACTGAAGCAGCTAGCTGCTGCACTGCAGCTAGCTGCTGCAGTCGCTCCTAGCTAGCTGCAGCTAGCAGCAGCTAGCTAGCTGCATCTCGCTGACACTGGCTACAGCTAGCTGCACATTGCTGCTGCTGCTGCTGCTGCTGCTGCTGCCTTTAGAATCACAGTGTGGGGTCCCTATCCTAGCTGCTGCTGCTGCAGTTGCTGCAGCAACTGCAGCAGCAGCAGCTAGCAGCAGCAAAAGAAAACGGGGGCCCCTTAATAGGGCAGGGGGGCCCCAGGGGCCCCCATGTACACTCTGCAGCCTTTTCCAGTGCCCTTCTGCCTCCAGTGGGGCCCCTGAAAAGGGTACAAAGGGGGCCCCTTCAGAGGGCCCCCAAGGGGGCCCTGGACGGGCCCCAAAGAATTCCCAAAGGGGCCCTAAAGAATCCCCCGAGGGGCCCCAGAGGGGCCCCAGAGGGGTCCCAGAGGGGCCCCAGAGGGGCCCCAGAGGGGCCCCAGAGGGGTCCCAGAGGGGCCCCAGAGGGGCCCCTGAGGGGCCCCAGAGGGGCCCCAGAGGGGCCCCTGAGGGGCCCCAGAGGGGCCCCTGAGGGGCGCAAAGGGCTGGGGGGGCCCCTTGAGGCTGCAACAAAGTATCTGTTTTGCTGCTGCGCAAGGGATCAGCAGACGCTGCTGCTGCTGCTGCTGCTTCTCTTGCTGCTGCTGCTGCTGCTGCTGCTGTTTCACCAATTGTAACACCCCCCAGACCTCCACAGGGCCCCCTAGACCTCCCTAGGGGGCCCCCCAGGTACCCAGGGGCCCCCAGGTCTGCCCAGGGCCCCCAGACCTGTCTTGGGTACCCCAAAGGGTCCCAACTGAACCCAAATTAGTCAAGGGCCCCCACTGCAGCGTTTGGGGGGCCCCTGGGGGCCCCTGAATGTCTTTGATACCCCCAGGGGGCCCCTGGGGGCCCTTGAAGGACCCTAGGGATCCTTGGGGGCCCGTGGGGCCCCTAGGGGCCCCTGGGGGGCCCCTCCGGCCTGCCTTTGCGTTTAGGGTACAGCAAATGCAAGTTTTGTTTTTAGACTGCCCTGAGTGCATGCGCATGCAAGTGGAAATGAGGTGGTCTTCTGTCACTGGGGCTTTTGCGGAGTTTCGCCAGCTCTCGGTTAAACGGAAAATGGGATTTTTTTTTTCAATTTGGTTTATTTTATTTTAATTTAATTTAATTTAATTTAATTTAAAAATAAAATAAAATAAATTCGCCGTTTTAAGGGGCTGTGGGGGCTCGAGGTGCCCGCGGGCTCTCCACACACTGGACTGCTCGGGCGGGTGACTGAGCCCGCGGGTCACCGGAGCCGTTTTTTCGTCTTTTTGGAATTAATTAAAACTTTAAATGCAAATTAAATTAAAAGTAAATCAAATAGTTTTTTATTTGAAGAAGAAAGCGCCGAAATAAGCCTCTTTTGGGGGTGGGGGCCCGGTGGGGGCCCCGGGGGCCCCAGGTGACCCTGCGCTCCCCCCCGCGGTGTGGGGCCCCCCGATGGGCTATTTCGCCGGTTTTTTGCGCAAAATAATCAAAGAAAAGCAATTAAAAACAATTGTGACTAAAATGGTTTTCTTTTTGAGGAGATTTGACGCATTTTGACGCCGTTTGCGGCCTGAGTTGCGCGCGCAGGTCAAGTGTACGTACACCCGTGTCAGTGAGGGTCACTTCTTCACCAGGCCTTCCCTCGCCGCCACTTTTGTGTCTTTTGCCTCTTTTGGCCTTTTTTTGACTCTTAAAAAGCCTTTTTGGCGGCTCTTTTTGTTTAATTTCGTTTCCATTTGCTTCTTTCTTGTCTGGGGGCTGCAAGCGACGCAGACGCGCGAAAAAACGGGAAAAAAAGCCAGCTCCAGGGTTTAGGGTTTAGGGTTTAGGGTTTAGGGTTTAGGGTTTACACCCACCAATGCAACCCACAGGCAAAATGTACAGTGATACAATACCCCTCAGGGGGCGCCATGTGTCTCCGGGCCCTCGCAGGGGCTCCAGGGGCCCCCGGGGTTCTCCGGGGGCCCCTGTGGGGGCCCCTAGGGGCTGGAGGCCCTCTTCAGTGGCCCGGGGGGGCCCCCCAGGGGGCCCCCCCGGGGGGCCCCCCTCGGGGGCCCCCAGGGGGGCCCCTGAAGAGGCCCCGAGGCCCCGAAGAAACCCTGAAGATCTCCGCAGAAATGCCTTCAGACCCAATTCCAGGGACAGTTCTGAAAGGGCCCACGAAAGTGCATCTGGGGGGCCCCCTGGGGGCCCCCCTGGGGGGCCCCCAGGGGGGCCCCCAGGGGGGCCCCCTGGGGGGGCCCCCAAGGAAGCGGCTGAGAGTGTTCACTGGAGAGCAACTAGAGGGAATGATAGGGGGCCCCCAGGGAGTCAAGGTGGCAGGGGGGCCCCTGGGGGCCCCCCTGGAGAGGGGGCCTCCTGGGGGCCCCCTTGGGGGCCCCCCTGGGGGGCCCCCATGTGCGAGTCTTCTTCTGAGTTGCTGCTGCGGGATCGGCAGCAGCAAGACAGAGGGTGGCAAGGCAGCAGCGCCGCCGCTGCAGCAGCTGCAGCAGCAGCAGCAGCAGCAGCAGCAGCAGCAGGGGGCCCCGGGCCCCGCAGGAGAGGAGATCGCCGCAGCAGCAGCGGCTCCGAGCGGCGGAGCTTTTGCTCCAGCCCCCGGCCCTGCAGCAGCAGCAGCAGCAGCAGCAGCAGCAGCAGCAGCAGCAGCAGGTGTAGGAACAACGCAAAGGCAGCAGAAGGAGACAGAGAAAGGAGACGAAAGGAGACACAAAGAGAAAAAGATTATTCGAAAGAAAACAGCAGATGGCGCAGGCAGCAAACTTCTCGTGCTGCGAGGCGCAGCAGCAGCAGCAGCAGCAGCAGCAGCAGAAGCAGCAGCAGCCGCGGGCTCAGGAGGAGACTGAGGGACTCCGGGGAGGAGACGGGAGGAGACAGAAAGCACAGAAGAAGACAAAACCTCACTCAAAACACCAGTCAGCAGCAGCAGCAGCAGCAGCAGCAGCAGCAGCAGCAGCAGCAGCAGCAGCAGCAGCAGCAGCAGCAGCAGGACTCGCCGTTTGCTTCGCACGGGGTGCGGGGGCTGCGGGGCCGGCCGCGGCAGCAGCAAGTGTGGGGCCCCGGGGGGCCCCCCAGGAGAAAAGTGTCTCCTTTTATTTCTGTGTCTCCTTTTGGCAGCTGCAGCAACTCAGAAGAAGAGCTGCGGCGTTCCCGCAGCAAAGAGAGACGCAGGAGACGCAGGCAGGTTAGCTCCTGCTGCTGCTGCTGCTGCTGCTGCTGTTTTGCTGCTGCTGCTGCTGCTGCTGCTGTTTTGCTGCTGCTGCTGTTTTGCTGCTGCTGCTGCTGTTTTGCTGCTGCTGCTGTTTTGCTGCTGCTGCTGTTGGTTTGCTGCAGCTGCTGCTGTTGCAGCTAAGGTTCAGGGTTCAGGGTCTAGGGTTTAGGGTTTGGCGTTGGGCAGCACGGTTTCGAAACAACGGGTTAGGGTTTAGGGTTTAGGGTTTAGGGTTTAGGGTTTGGGATTTGGGCTGCAGTGTTTGAAGCAGCATCTCACGGTTTAGGGTCTAAGGTAATGCGTTTGTGCTGCACCCTTTCGAAGCACCGCTTCGGCCCTCAGAATCTAGGGTTTAGGGTTTAGGGTTTAGGGTTTAGGGTTTAGGGTTTAGGGTTTAGGGTTTGCGGCGCAGTACGAAACGATTCAGCGGCACTGCAGGCCGGGGGGCGGCGGCCAAGTTTTGTGGGATGGATTTCAATGGGTGAAAAGAAATGAAGAAGAAGAAACAAATGAAAGGACTTTGAACGAAACCCGCAGAGACCGGAGGCTCCACATCGGTGAGGGTTTAGGGTTTAGGGTTTAGGGTTTGGGGTTTAGGGTTTGCGGTTTAGGGTTTAGGGCTTGCGGTTTAGGGTTTGGGGCTTAGGGTTTAGCATTTAGGGTTTAGGGTTTAGGGTTTAGGGTTTGGGGCTTAAGGCTTAGCGTTTAGGGTTTAGGGTTTGGGGTTTAGGGTTTAGGGTTTAGGGTTTAGGGTTTGGGGTTTAGGCTTTGCGGTTTAGGGCCTGGAATTTGGGTCCGCGCTTCGGGCATGGTGCCTACGAAATAGTGTTTAGGCTTGAGGGTTTGGGTTTGCTGTGCAGGGTTTAAGGTTTAGGGTTTAGGGTTTAGGGTTTAGGGTTTGGGGTTTGGGGTTTAGGGTTTGCGGTCTAGGGCTTGGGCGCTTCGGGACATGGTGCCTACGAAGTAGGGTTTAGGCTTGAGGGTTTGGGTTGCTGTGCAGGGTTTAGGGTTTAAGGTTTAGGGTTTAGGGTTTAGGGTTTAGGGTTTAGGGTTTAGGGTTTAGGGTTTTGCGCAGGGAATTTGCCGCTGCTGGCGGAGGCGACGGAAGAGGGTTTGAAAAAGCACTTGACGGAATGCATGCGTTTGCGGCAGCCCCAAAGTTGCATGCGGAGTCCCGTGCTGCACGTGTGGTTCAGCAAAGACCGCAGCAGCAGCAGCAGCAGCAGCAGCAGCAGCAGCAGCAGCAGCAGCTACGGCTTCGTCGAACTCAAAACGGCGCAGGCGGCGCAGCAGCTGCTGTCCATACACCCCATCGTCTGGAAGGGCCACCACCTCCGCCTCAATCGGCCCTCCGAGTGGCGCAGGGACTCCAAAGAACTTCTCTTCAAAGACGTTTCCGGGTCTCTTTTTCCGCTTTTTTTGACTCTTTTTTTCTCCTTTTTCTTCTTTTTTATTCTCCCTTTTATTTCCTTTTCATTTCCGCTTTATTTTTATCCTTTTTCCGCTTTTTTTCCGCTCAAAAACGCGCTTTTCTCTCCTTTTCTTCCTCGATTTTACTCCAAAGAACTTCTCTTCAAAGACGTTTCCGGGTCTCTTTTTCTGCTTTTTTGCGTCTTTTTTTCTCCTTTTTCTTCTCCTTTATTCTCCTTTTTGTTTTCTTTTCATTTCCGCTTTATTTTTATCCTTTTTCCGCTTTTTTTCCGCTCAAAAACGCGCTTTTTCCCCTTTTTGTCCCTCGATTTTGTTCCAAAGAACTTCTCTTCAAAGACGTTTCCGGGTCTCTTTTTCTGCTTTTTTTGCATCTTTTTTCCTCCTTTTTCTTCTCATTTATTCTCCCTTTTATTTCCTTTTCATTTCTCCTTTATTTTAGTTCTTTTTCCGCTTTTTTTCCGCTTAAAAACGCGTTTTTCTCTCCTTTTCTTCCTCGATTTTACTCCAAAGAACTTCTCTTCAAAGACGTTTCCGGGTCTCTTTTTCCTGGTCTCTTTTTCTGCTTTTTTGCATCTTTTTTTCTCCCTTTTTGTCCCCTTTTGTCTCCTTTTGTCTCCGTTTTAATTCCTTTTCATTTCATCTTTATTTTGATCCTTTTTCCGCTTTTCTTCTTCTTTTTGTCTGCTTTAAAATGTGTTTTTTTCTCTTTTTCCATTTTGAACTTTTGCCTCCTTTTTTCTCTTTTTTTCGCGTTTTTTCTCCTTTTTTTTCCTTTTTGGTTTTTCTTTGTCTCCGTTTGTCTCCTTTTTGCTTTTCGTTTTTTTTGCGGCTCTTCGATTATCTTTTTTTAGTTTTTTTTGGATTTTTTTTAATTTTCTTTTGTCTCTCTTTTTCCGTTTTGACCTTTTTTCCGTTTTTTTCTTTTTTTCTCTTTTTTGGCTCTTTTTTGCCTCCTTTGGGCTCTTTTTAGTCTCCTTTTTGTGCCTCTTTTTGGTTTCCTTTTTTATATTTTTCAGTTTTCTTTTTTTCTTTTTTTCAATTTTCTTTTTTCTCTTTTTTTTCTTTTTTACTTTTTTTATTCCCTCTTTTTCCTCTTTTTTTGGTTCCTCTCTTTTCCCTTTTCCAATTCTTCAATTTTCCTTTTTTAATTTTTTTCTTTTTTTAATTTCTTCTTTTTTTAATTTCTTTTTTCTTTTTTTAATTTCTTTTTTCTTTTTTTAATTTCGTTTTTTCTTTTTGTTTTTTGTCTCTTTTTGTCTCCCTTTTGTCTCCGTTTTCTTTTTTTTAATTTCTTTTGTCATTTTTCATTTTTCATTTTCATTTTTATTTTTAATATTCTTGTATCTCTTTTTAGTTTCTTGTGTTTCCTTTTTCTCCAC